GTGGGGTCTCAGCTTTGGCTCAGGGCGAGGGTCTTTGTCCCATTCCTGGGTTCTGGTTTGCTCCGGGCCTGTACCTGGGACCCTTTGGCTTTCACCCCAGTGAGCGGCGAGGCCCTGGCTGTGCTGGCAGTGGGCTGGTGAACCCCTGAAGTGCTTTCGGCGCTTGCTCCCAATTCCTGAGCTGCAGGTGCCAAAATCACTCCTGCCCCAGAGGCTCGCCCAGGGTGGCGGGTCAGTCTGGGGGTGCTGGGAGCTGTCCCCTGTGCGGAAAGGGTTGGAGGAGTGTGTGGTCCCACCCAGCCCGGGATACATCAGCCCAGTTTGGTTTTGACACACGTAAAGGGGGTGCTGCCTGTTGTGCCTGTGGTCCCGCGGTGCCGGTGCAAGGCCCAAGCCTCCATACTCGGGAGGCATCCGTGGGCTGGAGCACGGTGTGGAAGCGGCAAACCGCTCCTGGTTGTCCTGGCTCTGCTGATGGCTCCTCTCTCCCTCTCATTTTGCCCTCCAGGACGACATGACCGACTCCCTGCGGGATTACACCAACCTGCCCGAGGCTGCGCCCCTGCTCACCATCCTGGACATGTCGGCCCGGGCCAAATACGTGATGGATGTGGAGGAGATCACGCCCGAGATCGTGGAAGCCTTTGTCAGCGACTTTCTAGCAGACAAGCTAAAACCCGAGCCCATCTAAGGCGCCTTCTGCACCCACGGACGTTATTTAAAACTAGGCCTCTCTTCTGCCGCTCATGGATTCTCCAGCGTGTCCTCACGCCCGACCCAGTATCCAACCTTCTTGTGGTGCCTTGTTTTACGCAGTGGATCCTTCTCCTAAGCAAGCTCCTCGAGACACACTTTCAGCAGGGAGTCGTCGGCGTTGGGAGACTTCGCTTGTGCTTCATGGTGATATATTCTCTAATAACCAGGCCAGAACTGTTACCGTATCGTTATTTTATACGCGGCACTAGCTAGCAGGCAGATCTTTTTGCATGGTGTTCTTCCCAACGTATGCATCAGGCAGTGGATGGGGTTCTCGGGGCTCTTCTCTTCTCCTTCTCCCCCTTCTTCCCTTCCCTCCCACCCCTGCTGACTAAATGACTTTAAGGAAGCAATAAGGAAACTCCCCTTGACCCCCGGCCCGTCCTCCTTCCCTGTGTGAGTGCCCTGATGAGGCCCAGACAAAGTCTTAACTGCTGACAGCCTCGGAAAGACCCACAGCACAGCCGAGCTCTTCCTTCGGGGGGTGAGACCTTTCCGGCTGGGTTTCCCACCCTGAGCACCGACAGCCTTAGGCGGCGCTGGCTGTGCGTGTCGGGGTCCCTCCCTGCCTGAGCCAGGAGGAGGATCACCACCGGGCTGCCCTCACCTCTCCCCCTTGTGCTCTCCCCATCCCCTCTCCCCCCTCTCTCTGGTATGAATTGTCCTCTCCCCTCTATGTTAGTTGATTGAGCTGTTTTCTCGTAGGTGTGTCCCAAACCCAACGTTAATGGTGCTGTTCTTTAAAAAAATAACCAAAAAAACCCCAACAACAACAAAAAAATAGCCCTCCCTACCCAAGCAGCACAGCCGAGCCCCTTTCCCCAAAAGTGACATTGTAAAAACTGTACATGGTGATTGGAACTTTGTAATAAAACTGTTATAATAACCTCACCCCCCGAGGTGCCGATTGCCGCGTCCGGCCGTGGGGGAGACGGGGCTGTCTGGGACCCCTGTGGGACCCCGTGGGGAGGTGTTGGTGCCACCAGCTCCCGGCGCCCGAGCTGTGGTGGTGTGTTCCCCTCTTGTGGCGTGGCTTGGTGCCCCCCAGGCAGGAAGGAGCCTGGGTTTGGCAGCCGGTGGGGTGCTCCCCGCCTGCATCCCACTGAGCCTGCACTGCCCCAGGCCGGTCCTGCTCCCCAGAACCCAGCGTGTGGGTTGGCCTTGGCTGCACAAAGGGACTGGCACTCGCTTGGGCCCCCTGACCCTATAAATCCCCACTGTGCTCTGCACGTTTTGGAGGCTCTCGTGTTCGGTGCCGATTACCTGGCTTGTGAGCTGGTGACTGACTCCGGGGCTGGTCAGGGAGGA